ATCATTAGCTTTAAACTACATGACTCAAAGTTAGTGTCTTTATTATTGTATCAATCTGTTCACAACAGCATATATAGATTATATTTACATTTTTTTAATCCTATTTACTGAGCAGCTGAAAAGTTGTAAAGAAAGAAAATTTTAAAATGTTTTGTAAATCCTTCTTTTTAATCCATCATGTTACATAGAAATAACAGAAACAAGATTAAATAGTGTTTATGGGGATTCCAACCTAAATGTTGGGGAAATAAGAAATATTGTGTGATGACATCATAACTGGCATGTTACATCATTAAGCCCCGCCCCCAAAGAAACTGTCCTGTATTTCGGAGGGACTGAGTTGGCAACCCTAGTGCATGTGTTGTACATGAATTATCAGCTAGTAAGTTTCAAATTGAACTTGCGCTTTAAAATTAGCTTCCGCTAGCTTTTCTACGGCATACGCGGTTTTGAAGTTGTGGACCTAAATATTTTTATAAGCGCTTTAGAAATTGCGGAGCTAATTTTTGGATTAGCGCTGCCCACCACTGCTGTTGCTGATCCTAGACCTGGCCAACTGTAGAAACCCCAGATCAAGGTGACAGTTGTGTGGAAGTTAAATTAACTCACCCTGAATCTGTCCAGCTCTTTCACTCTGCTGTACAGGGTCTTGCCCACACAGGTAAGGTCATAGAGCGGTTGACACCAGACTGAATCCAGCAGCTGTTTAGAGAAGTCGCTCACAGAATACCTGCAGATGACAGAGAAAACACTGAGCTGCTGTTCAGGGAATTTGAGCTTTGAATTTTTATTTTTAATTTATCAATGTTTCACTGGTAAACTCAAAGGCCTAACATTCCTAGAAAAAATGTGTTTGAGTTTTAGACTAAGATCATCCTCTTGTGAGAAAAGTTATTTTGGTCAAACCTAAACAATGACAATCTGTAATTTCATTCTATTTGTTTTCTTACCTGCTGAAATCCCAGCAGCACAGAACCCTGCCTGGAATCACAGCATCAGAGCCGCTGTGGCAGCAGTCACAGAAATACCTGCCAAAGACAAAAGAACTGGTTTAAAACTGGATTTATTCAGTCATGTCTACAGAGAATCCCACTAGAGAGGGTCAGTAGGCCCTTAGTTTGCCTACCTGCCCAGGTAGTCACAGTATCGAAGTTTCTTGATGTATTCTGGTGGCAGAAACACAACTCAGTCAAGTCCTTTATCAGTCTCTAGATTACAGATTTACTCTAATTTTACAATGTCCACACTCTACTGCAAATACCAAATCTGTGGAAATTTCCCTTCGACACTAAATTACTGTGTGACCTTGGTTAACAGTAAAATAAAATAAAATAAAATTTGTAGTACTGAAGCTGCACCACAAGATAGCAAAAACATCACATCACCTTCATTGTTTTTATACCATTTACAATGACTTCTCATTTATTAACTACTTAAACACAGTTTAACAGCATCAGAATCAGGATGAAGAGTCACAGATACAAAAAAAAATACAAAATATGAAGGTTGAATTACTTCAGAACTTTATGACCATCTTTGATCATTAATTATTCAACCAATCAGTAAAATTAAAACAGATTGGGGAAATGATCTGGTGTGAATTTAAATGACAAATAGCAGGATAAAGATTTAAAGAAAGTTTGTGCACATGTTGGGCTTACCCTGTTTGAACTACCTAGACTTTCAGAGAAGTTTCCTGAAGTAGCAGATAAATTAGACATGTGTCCTGATTCCCTTAGTCATCAGTATTTTGCACACATCACTCAAACTGACTGAATTGAGATGAGGTGTTCCGGGCATGTCCCACTGGGAGGAGGCCCAGAGGAAAACCCAGGACGCGCTGGAGGAACTGTCTCCCTGCTGGCCTGGGAACCCCTTGGGATTCCCCTAGATGAGCCGGCCCAAGTGGCTGGGAAGAGGGAAGTCTGGGTCTCTCTGCTTAGGCTGCTGCCCCCGCAACCCAACCACGGATAAGCGGCAGAAAACAGATGGACGGACGGACACTCAAACTGAAAACACTTGTGAATCCAGTTCTTTGACACTTTATGTGTCCTAAGCTTTCATTTTACAGATTCTCTAAAAAATCGTTTAGACCCAGACAACAAAACCAACCAAACAAAAAATAATACTAATACAATTACTTCACTAGAAGTCTGAGAAATATTTATTATTATCCCATATATGTA